TATATATATTTTTTTTTTTCAGTGTTTCAGTTTTTGCTCAGTGCAACTCACCTATATAAAGTGAGGAATCCTTCCTATGGACATGGTCATCGATGTAGGACACTCCAAGAGGCTGGACAGGTGTGCCCAGCAGAACCTGGGCTCCGATCAGCAGAAGGTACATCATGTTGGTGTTTGCTCGGTTGCCACATTTAAAAGCAGGGTCTTGGTTTTCTGACCTGGAGTTGTTGGAGCAGACATCCCTGCCATCCTCAGCGTGCCACGAGTCCCTGGCCTCATACTCATACTGATGAGTTAGGAACTCTGGCAAGGCTGACAGCAATGCCCCCAATGCCATGACAATCCCCCCACAGCCAATAAGTCGGGGTCTGTGGGCCTTGGCGCCAAAGTAGCTGACAAATAGGATGAGGGCCAGGTTGCCAATTTCAAAGCTGCTGGCAATGACGCCTACATCGGCACTCTGGAGGTTGAAGCGTCTTTCCAAAGTGGTCAGAACACTTACCTGGCAGTTAAACAGAGAGAGAAAGAAATAGAGAGAGACAGACAACTATCATTCATTTAGGACTGCCAAATACAACATATAGTTGCCTCCTTGCATAACACTGATCTCGTTACAGTGGCACCTCAGTGTGTGGAGTATATTAGGCAGCACATGAACATTCAGTTCTCAGTTGATATGTTGGAAGCAGGAAAACCAGACAAGTTTAAGGATCTGAGAGACTTTGACAAGGGCCAGACTGTGATGTCCAAGTGACTGGGTCAGAGCACCTCCCAGACTGCAGGTCTTGTTGGGTGTTCCTGGTCTGCAGTGGTTAGTACCTACCAACAGTGACTAAGGAAGGACAAACAGTGAACCTGTGACAGGTTCATGGACACCCAAGGCTCACTGATGATGAGGTTGTACTGTAAATTAAACTTTAAAATTTCATTCCTTTTCAAAAGATTCCATTTTTTTAGAATCTTCATTAAAATGGTTGAGAATGAGAAATGCTATATATTGCTCTCTATGAAGAGAAACATTCAGTAGCTATAGTTATGATATTACAGCTAGAGTGGGGAGGCTGTTGAATTAGTCTAAAATGTTATCTCTAACTCGTCCTCACGACCACAGTTTTCACTCCTTTTACTGTACATACGTTTTGCATTGAATGGTCAACACATTCGTGCTCTTCCTGACAGTTGAACTATGGAAACAAATAGATTCACAGATGATGCACAGTGAGCTGCAGAGCAACATGAGTGTCGACCAACTGCTGCATTGACTCCTGTGTACACCGTATTAGGCAGGGGGTCATAATGTTATGGCTGATCACTGTAAAATCCAATGTGTCATAATAATATCTAATCATCTTTTTGTACATTAACACCATATCTCTTGCGAAATTAGACAATTTTGCTGTTTATCACAAAATCAGTATCCTAAAGCCCATGATGGTGACTTGAATATTCTTGTCTATCTATCTATCTATCTATCTATCACCAGCCCAGGACACAAACATATTCGGTTTACTTTTACATTAAACAAATGACAATCTTAGGTAATGATGGTTTTAGATAATTTACTTTTTAGGATTTTCTACTACAGATATTGTTGTCTTGGCCAGCTCTCCAGAGATGTATAATGATGTGGAGCTTGGTATTATGAACCCAGAACAAATTTCCCAGCCATGGGACAATCAAGTTTAATCTAATCTAATCTAATCTAATCTAATCTAATCTAATCTAAACAAGCACAAATTCAAACTCCATATCCAATTAAGAAGTTGGAACTAGTTAATATTTGGCATTTGTACTTGAAAATTACATCCATTATCAAAACAATTGATAACATATCTTGTCAATCAATGAAACAACTAATGATTTTAGCCCTAGTAGTATGCTTATATACTTTGCAGAACAAAACTGGTGACCATTTGTTTGGGTTCAGTGAAACAGTTACACAGATGCCCCACAAAGCGGCTCTTACTTTATTTTACCTTTCAAACGCATTATCAACTGCGCTGACGTGCCTAACAGCAGCTTAACAGTATTTCCAGTTATCTACACGTTCCATATTGGTATAGCTCCTAAACTAAATCATTGGGGCCTCTACTGAGCTTATCTCTTGCGTAGAAATCAATCGAATATCAAACATAAAACAGCCCATTATTTTGATCAAACTATCCTGTAAATGGAGATTGAGGTTTAAAATAAATCCCTACTTAGTGAAGATACATCATAGGCCACTGTTTCCGCTGTTTTAGCGATCATCACCTAGGCCTGTATCCTCCATGTCAAAGGGCTCGTGCATTATTGAGGCATATGGATGTGGAAGCCTACAGAGCCGCTGACGTCTGATGGACCTCCTGGCCAGTGTTTCATAACCTGCTCTCCAACAATCCATCTATAAAATATACACATAAAATTCTCCAACAACAACGTGGAGCTGCTGTGACGCTATTTGTGTGGTGCGGATGGTGCATAGGCCTGATGGATAATACGCAGCAACTCATTAATCAGAGAAAGCAGCGCGTCCCATGGTGGAGGATGTGATTATTCTAATGTGATCAGAATATTATGATTACGAACCGTAGCTGAAGCACCGCACCTCTACTCAGTGTCTGCCTCTGCCGGTTTGAAGGACACTGCGCTAATATTACCTGAGATATAGAGAGATGGAGTATGACGTCCCCTCTGATCAACATTGTGTGCAAGGTCCACGTCCATAGAGACTCACCAGATAAGCGCCCACGGTGCCCTGTGCCAGCATGAGCGCACATTCCGACACTAGGAAAATTTTAATGTTGGAAAAACACGAGGTCTTCTTCTGGTTGTCATCCTGCTCCGGGTCGTCGGTGCTGCTCTGCTCCGTGCAGACCTGGCTTTTAACCTGCATCCTTCGGCTCAGGCTCCGGTCGGGTTAGACGGCATGAAACTGAACCGGTCCTCTTCGATTGAGAGCATCTGGTTATGGGTGGTGAGCTGCACTGCAGAAAAATGCGACTCTCTGCGAGTCAACAGCTCGTCTAGGTTGGGATATACAGCGAGGAATACTGCTGTTCACTCAGCGTTACGCACAGTCTGTCAGCGACCTCTCTTCACAGCCAGTCGGTCAGCGCGTATCAGCTACATCATATTTGAATGCGTAGACCACGTAAGTGTATGTGCGACGGGATCTAATAGTCTACGTAGACGCTGTCTCCCCACATCCGTGATGTTTGGCTATTGTATCTCCAGCTAGGACCAGTGCCAACCTCGGCTCAGTGCCAATCCGCAGTCCTGCGTATTAGGCGGTGTGTTATTATGCTCCTCCCATCCATGGACCATAGCAGGACAAGGGAGGTCTAATATTTCTCTCTCTCTCCCTGATCCTCCCCCTCTCCTTCAACCTGTTCCCCGTCATTTTACCCCTGAAGATTTTCAGCTTGTGCATTGTCACAAAATGTATTATTTCATCCCAAAACACACACAAAGACAAATCTGCTGAACATATAATGAACATTTCCCGATTATTAGCGTTGTGTATCTTTTAAAATTGTACAGAAAATGAATAATGCAACTATGAAAACATGGCACTGTGAAACCGATTTCACACTTTAAAATCATCAGGTATAGAATATGTCCACTAGACCTGAGCAACACTATTAATTTGGTGCATCTTTCAACATAAAATATTGTAGCAGTGTGGAAAAATGCTAGGGACCATTAAAGTCTA